GAGGGAGGTGGGAGGGGGGACCGGGATGGGGAATACATGTAAATCCATGGCTAATTCATTTCAATGTATGACAAAAACCACTGCAATGTTGTAAAGTAATTAGCCTCCAACTAATAAAAATAAATGGAAAAAAAAAAAAGGAAGATCCCCTGGAGAAGGAAATGGTACCCCACTCCAATATTCTTGTCTGGAGATCCCATGGACAGAGGGGCCTGGTGGGATGCAGTTCATGGAGTCACAAAGAGTCAGACACAACTGAGCATCTGAGCCTTAGAAAATAAGAAAGGCTATCTATAATAGAAACGAACACATCACTGCAAAGTAACTACACTCCAACAAAAATTACTTTTTAAAAAAGTGGAAGAAAAATGCTATGACAAAGGAATATGTATACTGTGATCCAGATTTTAAAAAATAAGATGTGTGTGAGTAGATACATACACAAAGGAAAAAAACAGTTATATATACATAAAGGAAAAAAAAATCACTTTCACATGGGAGTGAAATAATGTGTGATTTTTTTTCCTTTGTGCCTATCCATAGTTTTCTTTTTTTATATACATAATTTTCTAAACTCTCTTTTCTTATACTTTCTACCATAACTTTTGTAATTAAAAAAATTAAAAAATAAACTTGTTGATGCATGAAGGAAAAAAATAAGATGGTCTTACCCAATGCTCTAAGCTTAAGAAAAAGAACAGATTATAACTGACGCAAACCAGTGAATGGAAATAACAAACATAACAGAAATAAATAAAATTATAAACAGAGAAAATCACTGAAACTAAAAATTGCTATTAGAAAAACAATAAAATTAATAAACCTCTAGTCAGACTGGTCAAGAGACTTGGGCAGACAAGAGGGAAAGCTTGGGTCACAGAGTGTTCAAACTGCTATAAAATACAAGCCTTCAGACCCAAGGAGGTTGGCCCGAGAGAGGCCACACTGGGCTAGTTGCTTGGCTTCAAATTCCTCTAAGTTTACTTCAGGTCTGAGTCTCTTTCCCAATAAGAGGTAGACAAGATGTAACAACTTTGACTGAATTCTGGGGATTGACCAATGGCAGTGTTGGAAAATTTTTAGATTTAGGTTTTCCTTCCTGCCCAAGGTACTGCCATAGCACCCGATACAGAACTGAAAGGGTGGTTAAAAAAAAAACAAAAAAACCTGTGTTCAGGTTCTCTTTCTCTCTCTCCCTCCCTCTCCCTCCCTCCCTCCTTTCCATCCAGACCCAGGTGAATCAGAACAAGCAAGGGCCTGGGCAGCAGACCAACTTGGATTCCAGTCCCAGCTCTTCCTCTAACTAGATATCATCGCTCCAAGCCTCAGTTTCTTCATACATATTTTAAGGTTGTTGTGAACTCATACCTCCAGGGTTATGAAGGTAAATAACAGGATGCATGTACAGTATTGGGAGCAAGGTCAATTAAATTTACATCAGTCTCTGGTCTCTTCCCTAAAGAAATGTGTTTCCTCTTCTCAATTTGACCTTGAACTACAAAAGCCACAGAATGGCAGGAGCTGGGTCTTCTCACAGTTGTATCCCCAGTATTTACATAAGTTTTGGCAAAGAACATGTATGTGGTAAATGTACTGAATGAGTAGATGAATGAATGAATGATGACAACAATTATACTGGGTAACATGAGATGTAATACTGAATCCCACAATATATTTATCAAGTGCACATGACTGTAGGGGCAGGGAGTATACAGTGAAATGAATAAGATCCAGTCCTTGCCCCTGGGGAAATCAATACATTCTTTGTGATGTCTTCCCTGGTATCATGCTAGGTACTGGAACTTTTGGATGAGCCTTATCTCTGCCTGAGACAAGAGGATGAATCTAGATAGATAAACTACTCTATAAACTGTTTCTCCAAAATGTATGCTTCTCCAAACTATGTATTTCGCAAGCTATGAACTTCTAGAAGGCAGGACCTGGCCCTATATACCTCCAAAATCCCAACTCAGGTCCGAGTGCTAGAGTTTAAGTGAAAGCTTTTTAAAAGTGGGTTTGTGGAACTTTTCTGCTGGTCCAGTTATTAAGAATTCATCTTGCAATGCAGGAGACACGGGTTCGAACCCTAGTCAGGGAACTAAGATCCCACATGCCATAGAGCAACTAAATCCATGCACTACAACTAGAGAAATCCCAAGCATCACAACTACTGAGCCTGAACGTCACAACTAGAGAGTATGTGCTCCCCAACGAAAGATCCCGCATGCTGCAACTAAGATCAGATGCAGACAAATAATCATAAACAAAATCTTCAAAAAATAAATAAATAAGAAGCGGGTTGGTAAAGACGGCATAGATAGGGAAGATGGGCAGGGTGTGGAAAAAGAGAGGCTGGGGGAAAGATACTTTGGCTCCAGAGCACAGTGTGAGCAAAGACGCAGAGGTGGAAAAGTACATTCAAGGACACAGCAAGTGACTTGATGTAACCAGAGGGCTGGATCCATATCAGAGAGGGGCAGGGATAGGGGCGGGAGGAGAGAGGAGGGAGGCTGGAGAGAGTGTCAAGGGCGGGAACATGTGAGGCCTTGCATACCAAGTTAAGGAGCTTGGGCCACATCCTAAGAGTTATGGGAGACAAAGGAGAGAATGGTTGGACAGTGTTTCCCAAATATCATTTCAGGGGGTGATGTGGAGCTCAAGGCTGGAGGTGCAGGACCAGTGAAGAGTTCAGTGTGGCCTAGGGCAGCAGGGAATGGAGAGAAAGGTGTCCTGTTTGTTGAGGATAGAGACATCTGTGTGTAGGATTCTAAACATGCCCATGAATATGTGCATCATTCCACACAGGGTCAGCCTAATCAGAAATCCCAACCGTTCTCAGTTTCACGACCCACCAAACCCAAAAACTTGGGGAAGGCCATGAATACCAAAGAAAGAAGCTGAGATGCATTCAGCCAGTGCCTGACTATATTTCTTCCTCTTCAACATCATCCTGTCAGATTCAACCCTCTTCTGCTGGCTTTCAGGGTCTTCTAATCTTGCTTTCCTTGTTTAGTCACCAAGTCGTGTCCCACTCTTTTGCAACCCTATGGATTGTAGCCCACCAAGCTCCTCTGTCCATGGGTTGTCTCAGGCAAGAATACTGGAGTGGGTGCCCTTTCCTTCTCTAGGGAATCTTCCTGACCTACAGATCGAACCCACATCTCCTGAATTGGCAGGTGGATTCTTTACTACTGAGCCACCAGAGAAGCTGCTTATACCCTTCCTTGTCTCTTGCATGCTGTGTCAAAATCTTTACACAGGTTGCTGATTTTAAAACCCCACAAGGCCAGCATGAGAGTGGAACCTGGAGCTGCCAGGAAGCCTTGCCCAAAGCCTAGCTCTCATCTGGAACAGCTATTCCTGCCTGATCAGGCCCATGCTGGCATGCAAGTCATCCTGTGCTCATGAACTAGGCTGACACCCAAGGACCCAGGCCTAGGCCAGCTTGGGACTCTAGTGACATCATCAGAGAGGAAACTGATGCAATGAATATCACTCCTTTTTGATGACTCAACCTCAGCACCTGATAACCAATGTTTCCTTCTCTCAAGGGTCACCCTTTAAAATATGCAGTTTATACCACTGACCTCAGAACTAGCCGGGAATTGCACCTATTAAAGAACACGGGCTCTGAAGCCAGAACACCTGGACTTAAATCCTGGCTCTGCCACTAGCTTTGTGATTTCGGGCAAGTTTTTAAACCCTTTTGGCCTCCATTTCTTCAACTGTAAAATGGGACAAATTGTAGTACTGTCTATTCCATAGGGTTGTTGTGAGGCTTCAATAAATCCACACATGTAATGTATCTAGAATCAGAACTGGCAGACAATAAAAACTCACTGAAGTTTAGCACATGTTACTATCTGTTATTTTCAGGAAATCAACCTTGACTATTCATTGCAAGGACTGATGCTGAAGCTGAAGCTCCAATACTTTGGCCACCTGATGTGAAGAGCTGATTCACTGGGAAAGACCCTGAGGCTGGGAAAGATTGAAGACAAAGGGAGAAGGGGGCGGCAGAGGATGAGATGGTTGGATGGCATCACCAACTCAACAGACATGAGTCTGAGCAAATTCCGGGAGACAGTGAAGGACAAGGAAGACTGATGTACTGCAGACATGGGGTCGCAAAGAGTCAGACACAACTTAGCAACTGAACAACAACAACTATGTGCTATAGTTCATGAAATCTGCTACTTCTTCTTTTGGAAAAATAAGGACTGGTCCACCTTACCTCCAGTCTCCTACTGCTTTCTCAGCTGAACATCACTTCCCATCACCTGCCAGAGAAGACAGATTCCTCCTGCAGTTTCTCTGAGATGCAGTCATCTCCTCAGTACAAAGTAGTTCAACAGGGATTCTGAGAGCAGGCTTCAAAGCAGCAGTGTTAGCATCTACTCAGGAACTTGATAGCAATGCAAAACTCTACTGAATCAGGGCTCTGGGTGAGGTACCCAGCAAGCTGTGTTTGACCAAATCCTCCAGGTGATCCTGATACACAGGCAAGTTTGAGAATTCCTGCAGCAGAGTGTAGCATAGTGGTGTATTTAGGTAGATCCAGCCCAGTGCAACTGCACCCTCCTCCAGGAAGTGTTCCTGATTCACCCAAACCCCCTTTCATTGGTCCTCCAACTTCCTCCCTAGATTGCAGTTGTTTGTGCCAGAGTGACTTCCTGGATTACAGGTTCCCTGAGAGCAGGGTTGAGTCTCAACCATCTCTATGCCTGCACTGGGCTTTGCTTAGAAAGATAAGTCACGCACTAGCTAAGTAAGTGAAGTGAAGTCGCCAGCTAAGTAAAGCACACCACATTTCCAGGTTTCTCTGACTAAGCCTGCTCTTACTGGGCCTCTGCTGTCTGGGACTCTTGGTCACATTGTGGTTTTCCTCTGGAGGTGTTTTCATCTCCATGCTGGAATGCCTATCTCTTTGTCATTCCTCAAGTCCTCCTCCAGATCCACTGGTTTCTCAGGGCATTTTACACTTTACCCCTCCAGTATGTTTGCTCAAAGCCTTTTGGACAGATTGCTCCATCTCCAGGCAAATTTGTCCTCCCAATCCATGTTTTCAATCATAACACTTCTATTTGATAACATTTGTAAAGCACTAGATGCTTGACCCTGTGCTGGGCACTGTGTTCATTCTTTTAGTCCTTACAACAACCCCAAGAAGGAGATACTTTGCTTATTCCCATCTGGATGGACCACAGGGAAACTGAAGCCTGAACACAATATGTAACAATCACACGTCATCTGTGTCACCTTCGGAACAAGGCTGCATTTGAAGAAAAGATTTCACTGCTATGGAAAGCTGGGAAAACTACTGCTGAGAAGCAATTGCCTTTTTAAAAAATATAATTGACATATAACATACTTGTTTCAGGTACACAACATGATTCGATAATAAATGTGTATACTGTGAAATAATCACCACAGTCTAGTTAGCATCCAACACTACACAGAGTAATTGTCTTTTAATGTGTCTATTTCTTCCCTAAGAACGCAGGCTCCTAGAGAGCAAGGACTGCACCTCCCAGATCAGCACAGGCCTAGGAGGGTCTCCAGAAAGGTAGACCAGACAAAGGGATGGATGGAAAAGCATTCAGGAGGAACTCTCAGTGTGGGGGAAGATTTACCTCCCACCCCTTCCCTGCAGGGGAAAAATGGTCCTGGGGGAGTTGAGTAAGAAACTTACAGACAGAATGATGCAAGGGGCACTTTCTGTACATATTGCAACAAGCATGCTAAAATGGGACAGGAGCTATTCTGAAGGTTTGTTCCCAAGGGTCTCAGGCCTATTCCTCTCTAGTTGGCTAGACTTGTCCCCCAAGACAGGGCCAAAGGCCACTCCTGAGCCCCCTCCACCAGGCCTGCCATTAGAGTGGAGGTCAGTGTTCCCAGGATCTGGTCTGAAACCAAAAGTTATCATCAGCATCTCTTTGTGCTTTGGCCCTACCTCCACGTCACACACCCTAGAGATTCTAAGGGTTCACCATCTCCCCAGCCTTCCCTTCTAACAGCTCAACCACCACTACTTTAGCTCTGCTTGCATCCCTATCACCTCTCCATTCCCCTCCCTCTCTCCTTTCCTCCCTTCTTCCTTCCAACCTTAGTCAAGTCCCTCCTATGGGCCAGGCCCAGTGCTGGGCACTGAGACACAGAGAGCCCACCAATTCCATCTTTTCCCTCCAGTAGCATCTCCTGGGCAGGACAGGTGTGTAGACACTAGGAGTTACAGATGAGCTGAGAGAAAGAAGCTAGGGGCCTGATGGGGACACAGATGTGGAGAGGGTCCTCCTAGGGCCATTAAACTCCAGACCAAGCCTCCACCTCTCTCTACTCTAAACTCTGCCCAGATTCTCTGCATAGACTGCATCATTGGGCTCATTCACCCTCTGCCCATTGGGAAGTCCTGGCAGCAGATGGGAGGGAGGAAGGGACAGAGAGTGACCTTGCTAGATCACTATGGGTTGTCTATGCTGCAGCTTCCATCAGGAAGCCCTCTTCACCTGGCCTCCCCACCTTTGCTCTTGAGGCCACATGCTTCCACCCCATCTGGCCTCCCCCCTTTGCCCTCAGGCCACATGCTCCCACAGCATCACTGGCCTTGGGGTGCCTCACAACGCCTAGATTTTCCCCTATATCTTGGCTACATCTTTGAAAACAGTCTTTGTATTAAAATTCCCTCAAATTGCCCAATTACAGATATGCTGTTTCCCATGGGGACCCTGATCGATACAGGGCAGAGGTAATCAGGAAGGGTACCATGGAGGTGACACAGTGGGTGTCCTTACCCAAACACTAATCCTTCTAAAGCCCAAACTGACCATATGTCATCCCTGCTAAAACACTTTAAGGATCCCCATTACTCTGAGGACAAAGTGCAGACTCCTTAGCCTGGTACCAGAGACTGTACACCATCTGGCCCCTGAAGACCAAGCAGCATGTAGTGAAAATCACACAGATGGGGCATGATAGGGGTTTAGAAGGGGAAGGAGAGAGTCCCAGGAGGGAAGGAGCTCCATGCCCCAAAGCAGTCTTGCCTGGAAAATTCCTGGATGGGGAAGGAGGAGGAGGGTGGCATGTGGCACAGACCACAGGGCCATGCCAGGCCCCCTCCCCTTGCCATCACCTCTGTCCTTCAACCTTCCAAGTGAGCACAGCACTTGGAAATGAGTTTGACCCAGACAAGCACTAGCCTTGGGCTATGAGAACTGGCACAAATCCCAACCCCAGCTCTGACATTGGTATACTCTTGGGAGTCTCTGAGCCTGAGTTTTCCCAACTGTAAAACGGAGTCAACCTCACAGGGCTATGAGAGCTTTAAGGAGGAAAAGTTTGGGAATTTCCTTTCATCAAACAATTCCGGGGTTAGGGGTGGTTCCTCGCCACCTCCCCCATCCCACCCGAGCCTTGTGAAGCTGAGAAAGCACATGGGCTTGCGGATCAGGAAGTCTTGGATGTGAATCCCAGCTTTGCTATTTACTCTCTGTCTCATCCTGGACAAGTCCCGTTACCTCCCTGCACCTCATTTACAAAGTGGGGTGATAATCACCCCTGGCAGGGATGCTCCTCACATGGACTGGGTGAGCTCCCACAGGCTAGGGCCTGCCTAGAGCAGAGCGCTTGTAAGCATTTGTTTCTGCCTTTCGCCCTGTGCATCTCTTAGGACAGATGTCCTCTCTGCCTTACAGACCAGCCACTCACCTCCTCTGTGCAATGGAGGGACTGAGGCTGCCATCACCGCTACGGGTCTTAGAGGTGCCCATATCCATCCCCTTACAAACCATAAAGCTGCATCCATAATTTCTAATGGTAGCACAGCCTTGGTGACTGAAGAGGGTGGTGGGATGTACTACCTTTGGGGAAGCCCACCCTGGTCACTTGGTTTGATAGCATCACTGACTCAATGGACATGAATCTGCACAAATTCTGGGGGAGATAGTGGAGAACAGAGGAGCCTGGCATGCTGCAGTGCAAAGAGTCGGACGTGACTTAGCGACTGAAGAACAACAACCCTAGTCAAACTGGGATCTGTGGCTTGATCTGACCTCTCCCTCTGGTGCTTGGCCAAAGCGCCAAGGGAAAATCACTGGGATGGGAAATGGTGAAGGAAAGGTGACCCCGGTCCTGGAGCCACCCTGCCCACACATCGGCAGGAGAAGCAGGGCAGGCCATGAAGACAGGACTGGAGGGAGGCTAGGATGTGTGGGGAGGGGACAGGGGAAGTCAGTGCCTGGTACGAGACCCCCATACTCACCTGGAGCAGCAAAGATTAGTCCCAGGACACGAGAGCTGCCAAGAAACATCCTCTCTGGCTACTCTAATGCTGGGTCTGGTTTTCTATCCAAGTCAAAGTGGACCAAGTTGCTTACGCAGGTGTCTTGGGCATGGCAGCTGGGGGCCATTGGGAAGGAGCTGTCACTCTGTGAGATGACCCAGAAGGAAGCGACTGCCCCTCTCAGCCCTCAGACTTGCCTTAACATCCTTTGGTGAACATTCCCATGTATGCGAAGGGCCCAAACTGGACTTGGTTTTATTGCCTCACCTCAAGCCCCCACACCACCCACCTACCTAATCTTCCACCTTCCAGGTGGCTCTGCTCATAGCCCTCCTTTGATCTGGTCCCAAGGATGAAGTCCAGGTGGGATTATAAAACCTCTCAAATCTGGTCCAGTCAATCTCTCCAGCCTTATCTCCTACTCCTCCCTGCCTGCATCTCCTTTCCAGCATCCTTCCTCCAGCCAGTCAGGATGCTCATGGTTCCCACCTCCAGGCCTCTGTCAAGGCTGTAGCTTCTGCCTGAAGACCTTCTCCTTCCTCTCTGCTAGGCAGAATTATCCTCCTCAACTCAGGTCCAGCATTAAATGTCATCTCTCAACCTTCTTAATTATCATTCCCTCCTTTGACACAATCCCCACCCCACTCATAGCACTTCGTCTATGACTCTGTTGTACTCACTCCCTGGTCAGTCCACTGCTGACTGAGCCACAAACCTGAGCCAGACCTGCACTGGGCGCAGAGTGATGATACTCCTGACGACCCTGGGAAAGCTCCTGGCTCAAGGAGATGGTGATAGCGCAGAAGAAAGGATTGAACACGGCACAGCCTCCCACATGTCCCTGCACCACAGCCTGGCCGTCTTGCTGCAACCATTGGTTTGGGGACATATCTCTGGGCTAGGGCTCCTTGAAGGCAAGGACTGTGTCTGATTACCTTCTGTGTCCCAGTGACAGCCAGGCCCAGGAAAGTGCATAGGAAAAAATGTGCTGAAGCAGATGAACTTGGGATCTGAAGGAGCTTTCATCTTGATCCAAAGTCTTGCCATTTCAGTAAGCTTACTTTCATAACATAGTGGTGACACCATTTTACACGCTGTGATTTCATTTGATTCTCAAATACTCAAGGGCAGTCAGCCAGCTAAGAAACGCCACCTCCATTTCAGGATGTAGAAACTACCGGGGCTGGCAAGGTGACTTGCCCAAGGAATTGCTGCAAGTTGGTGGGACAAGAAAGGCCAGCATGCAGGCCTCCTTCCTCCCAGCCCATGCTCTGCACCTCAGACCATACTATGAGGGAGCTGGTTGGGCCATGTGTTCCAGCCCAACGCCTCCTCCACAGGAGACTTTTCTGGAGTACGCACAAGCCACACACTGACTTGGGGTACCTCCAGGACAGTAGGAGTCTTGCCTCCAAGGGGACCCAAAACACCACTGGGGAGAGGATTGAAGGATTCATAGCACCTTCAGCATCCACCTTGCTGCACTGCTATTTCCCCAGAAATCCATCACATCTGATCCAACATCCCAGCCTTTGCTGACCCCTATGTCTCCCACAAACCTGAAAGCTGCTAGCATTCCCTCATCTCCCACAAAGGCACCAAGCTCTTCTCAGCATCAGAGCCTCACCACCTGCTTGCTCTACCTGGGATGCTTTTCCTTCTATTCTTAGCCAACTCAAGCCTTAGGGTTCCATGACTTTTTTCTCAGGGTTTACTCCTGTAACCTTGAATAGGTTGAACAAATGGCAGGGTTTCTAGGTCCCATCAGTGGCATTTGTCGCATGCTGTGCTGGCACTGTGACTTCTGACAAGAGATGGTAAAGACCTTAGCAGCAGAGACTCCCTCTCATCTTATGCCGAGAGCCCACACCTAGCTTCCTCAAGCTGACCCCAAGGAATCCGTCTTTTCACTGACAGGCTTGTTGCCCTCACAACTGCTCTTACCATCCACGTCCAGTAAGTCGTTCCACCACATTCCAGTCGATCTCCCCTCCTTCTGCACTTCTCTCCAAACCAGGCCTTCCCTCCATCCTTCCACACCATCCGAGCTCAGGAATGGTTCTCTCTCACCTGGGTCCCTCCTGCAGCTTCCTCACTGCCCTCCTGGCCTCCAGTCTCTCCCCACACTATGGCTGGAGGACTCTTAAAAACATGCAACCACTTGCATTTCCCCACTCAAAGCTATCCCCACCCTGATGTCCCAAGGGTGGCAGTCAAGAACCTTCCTAAGATCTAGCCCCAGCATCATTTCCTATAGCTGTCTGAGCTTCAGCATTCCAGGTACCCTAACCCTGCCCCAAACATGCTGCCTTTTCTAAGAGTTTAGGCCTTATCCTCACACCCTCTATCTACAAAACTACTCATCACAGGACAACAAAAATAATTTTGGAAAACTTTCTATGTGCCTCGTACTATACTCGGCTATTTTTTACCTTTTAAAATTTTACCTCATTTAGTTCTCAAAGCACCTCACAAAATAAGTGTTATTCTTCCTATTGTACAGATGTGGAAACTGAGGTTCAAGAAAGGGAGGGCCAGAACTGGCTCCGGGTCTATCTGATTCCATCTCTGTTGTGCAATAATCTCTCTGGGAAGTGCGCCCAGCCTCCAGTCCCCAGCCTCCATCCCAAGAAAAGGACCTCTCTCCTCTGGATCTACAGCCAGAGAGTTCTCTCGTGGCCTAGCACTGCTGCCGGCTTCTGTGTGTGATCGCCTCTTACCAACGAGAGCACCTCCCAGGGCAGGGCCAGGATTAACTGGTTTGGGTCCCCAGCACGCAGCAGTATACAGTATAGAAGTTTAGACGGAAAGGTAGAGGCAGCTTAAGAGGTTTAGGAGCCCGGCCCTACCTAACTAACTCCGATCCAACCACTAATCAGAGGCGGGACCGTGGCATCTGTAGCCAAAGCGAAGCCCTGCGGAACGGAAAACACAAACCCCCGCCTGCCCCAGCCAGGCCCGCACGTGCCGGGCCTCCCGGCCCACCTTCCTGCTGCCGGGCTGCACCAACGCCGCGGGGGAGCGGCTAGGGGCGGGCATGGGGAGCAGCAGGAATAACCAGGCAGCCCCTCGCCAGGAGGACCCCGGGCCGCGGGCGGCGCAGCCGTAAGTAGCAGGGTAACCCCTTACAGCCCTCCCACGCCCGGCCGAGCCGGGCGCTCCGCCACCCCCACGGAGCTGCGGCTGCAGTGGTTGGAACGGCCGGCCCCGCCCCTGCCGCGTCGGCCCCGCCCCCTTATGAGGTGACAAAGTGCCGCGCTCGGAGTCGCGGGCTCAGTGGCCGTGGCCGTGGCCAAGGCTCCGCTTTCCGCTGGTGCTCCGGCCGGTCTGGCGGCCCGCCCCTCCGCACCCCCGGCAGTAGCGACCCCCGCGCTCCCCCGCTCGGCGCGAAGCCCTGGCCCCGGCGGCCGGGGCATGGGCCAGGGGCGCGGGGTCAGGAGGCTTCCCGCGGGGCCCCGACCTGTACTGGCTTCGTCATGAAGACCCTCATAGCCGCCTACTCTGGGGTCCTGCGAGGTGAGCATCGGGCCCGGCTGCCCGGAGCGAGGGCCTTGACTAAGGAGCCGTGCTGCCCCCTGAGGCCTCTGGGAGCGGGACTAAGGGTCTGGGAGATGAACTGTCACAGCCCAGGGTCTGCTGGGCTTTGCCGTCTTCCTCCTGGGGCCATGCAGCTGCGAGAGGGCTTTCAGGAAAGGAGGTGATGAAGGGCTCCAAGATAGGCAGGAGTGTGTTGGTATAATGGGAGTTTGTTGCTGGAGGGCAGGCCGCTCTGGGGGCTGAGGTCCCAACCTCTTTCTTTTCTTTTGGGAAGGCTTGCAGCCCCCTCCCTGACCACCACCCCCATCCCCCCCTGCTCATCTGGATCTGGAATGAGTTTAGAATAATGGTCTGATCCAGGCCACCTGGCATGGTAGTCATGTGGTGCATTCTCCACCTTAGCACTCATCAATTTTGGGGACCTCTATTACATCACTTCTTTTCTTCCAGCCTGTGAGATAGGATGTTACCTGAGAACTCTTCTCCAGCCCCCTGGCAGTTCCCTTCATCCCTCCTAACCTGGTGGATCAAGCTGTGAGGCACTGGATGGGGCAGCCCATCCAGACCGGGAACATGCCTGGCTGGGACAGTTGTGCCCACACTGTCCTCTGCCCCCTGCCCAGCCCAGGCTTGGGAGCCCACTCAACAGCGACTGTGAGCCTGGAATTCTTAGAAGATAGGACAAGAGGACTCTGGGTGCCCTTCAGTGTGATCTGCGCTGCTGTTCCACCAGGAAGAATTGAGGTCCTCTCTGAAATCAGGGGCAGAGTTGAGGTCAAACTCCACAGCTTTTCCCGCAAAAGGAAGAGCATCCCTTCCATGTCCCGCACCTCTCACCTATACTTGGAGAAACTGAGGTGGAAGGACACATGACCTGCCCAAGATTTCCCTAACAGGGCCTTGGCCAGTGGATTAAGTACAAATCCAGAAGACCCTGGGACATCCTCACAGCTGCCCTGGTCTGTCTTGCTTGAATCCTCCCTCCCTCCACCTAAAGTCTTTATCAGCTTGCTGAACCTCTCCTACTTAGGATTTTTCTTTAGTAACTAACAATAGCCTACCCAACCCCTTCATTATAAAAATAAAACATACGAATTATTGGATTTCAAAAAATATGGAAAAACAGGAAGAAAATGAAAAGTTCCTGGTTAATTGACTATCCAAAGATAGCTTCCTAATAGCATTTCAGAATATTTCATTATAATTTTATTTGTACACATCATTTAGGTAAGATTGGGGGCATGATGTGGATATAGTTCTAAATCCTGTTTTCTCCCTCTTGATGTTAAATTGTGAGTATTTCCTTCTGTTACTCCTAATCACTTACAATATTCTAGTGGCTGCTGGGTAACCACCCTGAGCTGTACCACAGTTTAACTGTGTCCTAGGCATTGGCCTTTTTCCCTGTGTGGCTGTTGGTGTGGTTATCTGCCCCTCTTGGTCTGAATGCCACTCACTGCCCTTGGAGAGGTACCTAGCTGCTGTTGCCATCTTGGGGACATGCAGCCTGAGCTATCTCATGCACCCAGCCCGATAGCCTCTGACAATCTCTGCTCTCACTTAAAAGTGCTTGTCCATTCACTGTGCCATTTAATGCCCGTAACGGGGAAGGAAGGGCCCTACCCATGTTCATGCTTTTAAAAGTGCTTTTGTCTCCAGGCAATGAGATAGGGATACTTTCTCTGGGGGTGGTCCTTCCTGGAGATACCCTTCCCTCATCTCTGCTATCCGCAGAGGTGAGTTGTATCTTCCAGGAGCAGGTAACCCTGACTTCCTCATTTTTTACCTAGAATTTGTTATTCAGGAGGACTTCCAGTGAGTGATTTTGACCAAGTCACTTACTATCCTTTCAGGAGCATGTCTCCATGTTTTAATCAGGTCTTGAAAACATTAAAAAAAAAAAAAAAACTGGCTACAAACAATTCCATCATGGAATGTAGCAAGAGTTGGCATGAAATGCAAACCAATCACTTTAGCTGTCTGGGATTCTCTTTGGTGAAAGACTGGGTGGGGAAGGGAGGAGATTTGCTGAAGCAAATCTTGTGTTATCTGGCATCTCCATTAGACCTGCTTTCTACATCCTTGGTCTTTGAAGACACTCCCCAGTGGCCTGGTTTTTACCAATAAAGTCTCATTGTTGGGAGGTGATGAACACTCTGTCAGTGGTGATATTTAAGGGAAGACCATGGCTTCTGTGAAGGGAAGACCTGTGATGGGTGAGATTGAAATAGATACCTTGGTGTCTGGTTTCCTGGGCAAAAAAAAAAAAAAAAAAAAGCCAGCTGTGGGGGCAGGTGGTTGTGCGCTGTGTGTGTGCTGGGAGTTTGTGGGGGAGACAGGAGTCTCTGTTGGTATTTTCTGATATCTGAAGGATTTACCTGTGCCAGTGGTGGAAGATGCAGAGTTATTCATATTTGCATCCTTGCCTTTCCCCCTGGTTTTAAGGCCCTTCTGATCAGAGCCCTCTGATGCCTGCCTGAATACCCAGGGTTCACCACAGGACCCAGCATGAAATGGTGGCAGCTTCAGTAAAATTCTGAACTGATTTGTTCTGCGTGGCCCCACCAAAAGCAAGGCCAGGAACAGGGCTGGAATTTTGGGAGGCGGGGGGTGCAGATTTGATATAATGGAGGAATGCTTTCCGACAGCCACTGCAACAGGTTTGGTGTGGGTGGAGTGGAGCTCCCCATCACTGGGAGTGTGTGAGCAGGAGCTTAGTAGGAGGTGAAACTAAGAGGCTGGATTGTTGGAGGGTTGACACCTAACTCAGTTCTAAATCATAGGATGAGAACCTGGTTTTCATATTCCCCTTCCCCCAATTTTATATAGCTTTCCCCGCTCCCCTACACCACTTCCCCAAATGCACAAATGCCACTTTGGGGTTATCTGTGCTACTGAGGGCTCTTCTGGGCGGAAAGAAGAGCCAAGAGTAGTATTTTATTAGCAGACTCGGTGACTCAGTGGCCAGTGTGGAAATCCTGCCCCACCCCCATCCTCCCATCCCTGAGTTCTGCAGCAGGTACTTGAGTCATAAAATCACAGCTCCCCCCAAAGAAAATAATCACAGCTCCCTGGCAGTGCTGGGTCAGGGGCAGCTCTCACATTACAGATGGAACACTGAGGGCCCCACAGAGAAGAGACTAGGCCAGGATTATCAAAGCCAGGGTTAGAACCCAGATCCACCTCCCAGTCACTGGCTGCCTTAAACTAAGAGAGAAGTGTGGTGAAGCTGTGAAGGGCCGAGTGCAGGGCTCTGACCACTGCAGGTACTCATTTCCTGATTGAGTGAAGGTTTTTCTGGAACCATGATGGGGCTGGCAGATCACCCCTTCTCATGCATTTTCAAGATGTCCCAACTTGCCCTGATGAGTAGATGCACTGTGAACCCTGGAACTCGGGCCAGGGGAACAGCCAGTTGCCCTTCGTTGTATTCCAAACCTTCCAAACTCCTCCTTGTGGCTGTGGAACCGCTGTGAGCAGCCCTCACTCCTCTGCTTCCATATCCTGCTCCAGAATGGCTGGGGTCTTCCTGTTCCCCCAGGAGTCCCATCAGTTCAGTCCTACCTCAGGGCCTTTGCACTGGCTGTCTTCTGCCCAGGTCACTGCATGACTGTCTTTCAACTATTCAGTCTCCTCTTGGAGGCCTTTAATCTGGAGAACTTTCCTGTCCTGTTGTATTTCTTATAGCCCTTCTCATTAGCTAAATTCTCGGGTGTACTTTTCTGTCTAGGTGATGGTCTGCCCCAGAAGAATGTCAGCCCCTTGGGAACAGGAACTCTGTCTATCTTCCTCAGTGTTTGTCCCAGCATTGAGCACAGTGCCTGGAGTGTAGTAGGTGCTCAGTAAATATTTGTTGAAAGAAGAATCATTAATGGAACTTCAGCCCTCCCGAGCTCTGCTCCTTCCTCTTGGCAAGAAGCCCTGCTTTTTTGCTTCATTGTGAGTCCTCAGTGCTTCCTCAGGCCTCCTCTGTGCCCACCTGTGCTAAGGGCTGGGCCTGCAGCTATTCCCTGCTCTGGAGGCTCGGTGGTCTTGAGGAGCTGGCTCCAGGGCTGATCGCCGGGGGCAGGGGATGCTCACCACAATCCCCCTTGTTGCTTCCAGGGCTTGGGGGCCAGAGAGTGAGGATTTCAGCCCTGGATCCCCTCAAGGACCTAGCTGGGTGTCTCTCTTCTCCTCTGAAGATCTCATTCCCACTCAGTGGAAAATAGGATCAGAAACTCTCCGACTGTCAAGGATGCAAGGGTTTAAGTTAACACGGATGGAAAGTGCTTTGTAAACTAACTTGTGACTCACCTGTTAGTCCCTGTCACTCATTTTATGTGACACATGCAACAGTCGCCAACACTGTGATGTGTGGCAGACTGCTCTGGGGCATCCAGGAAGGCTTCTTACAGTGGGGATTCGGC